CAGCACATTCCCACGGATTTACATTCAACTTTAAATGAGCACTGCCCACCGCCGACAGGATGCTCGGCCGACGAATGCCCTGGATAGTTACTATGGTGACCGTTGTTTGAAATAGTGCGGACATAAACTTTTACTAAATATGTAATTTGCAGCGTTAAGTGCAAAAAAACCGAAATAAGATCAACTTTCAAACATGAAAGGAAATACCAAGCGTTGTTTATTATGAGATTATAGTGGGTTTTTTTCGTTTTAACAAATCAGCTGATCGGCGCAAGTCGAACCTTTGAAGTTTGTGTGTAGGCTTGAGTTCTGGCTGTTCTTTTTTTATGGTTTTCTGTCCGATACTGATATCAAAAATATTAAATTTACAAAAAGTGTTACAACATTTTTATTGTTGTTCATCGTTACGTAAATATATGAATTGAATGGATTTGTTTTCATGTACATTGCGGCAATGAATAGCAGTAGCTGATTTACATATCTTCTGAGGAGAGCTAACGCGCTCCACAGGATATGCAGATCAGCTACTGCTATTCATTGCCGCAATGTACATGAAAAAAATTCTATTCAATCCCTATATGTTTATTAACACTACGTTAATATATATGTTCATTTTATCATGAAAGTTTACGTAGAATGAACGCTAAGCCGTTGATGACTGAGCAGTATTTGTGTCTATGCCGGTTAAACTGAAACGTCCGTGCAGGGCTACGTATGAAAAAATAACATATTTCCTTCATCTACATTGGATTTTGAAAAATATCTCCTTCCACGCTCCTACTGAAACTTTTCGATATTTTCTTTGTAAACGAAAGCTTATAGAATTATATAGAGATTTAATATTACTTGTTCGATTTCCTTACGTCAACTGAGTTGATATTAAGACATAGTTAATGAGCAGCGAAGCAGCTAATGTTGACTTTGTCTCAAGGCCTACACAATCCGTCAACCGTTCTATTTGATAAAAGCAATATTTAATCCCTTTATATCAGTTAAAGTTTGTAAAAATGTCAGAAACTTATATCAATCCTAAATTAAACTCTAGATACAGGAGCTTATTTAAGTATATATATATATATATATATATACTTAAATAAGCTCCTGTATCTAGAGTTTAATTTAGGTTTGATATAAGTTTCTGACATTTTTACAAACTTTAACTGATATAAAGGGATTAAAAATTTTTTTTTTTTAAAAAAAAAAAATTTTTAATCCCTTTATATCAGTTAAAGTTTGTAAAAATGTCAGAAACTTATATCAATACTAAATTAAACTCTAGATACAGGAGCTTATATAAGTATATATATATATATATATATATATATATATATATATATATAAATGTAATGATGAAATACAGTCCATCATTTAGTGCTTATCGTTGCGGTCCATTTTAAAAATTGTGATTCTGAACACAATTTTGATTTCATACGAAACATACTATACTTAGGTTCTCTGAAGTTTGTCTTTTTTTAATTATTCAAAAATATTTATATAAACAAAAATAACAATAACATAATGAAAGGCTTACTTATGTTATACTTAATTAACACTGACTAACGGTGTCCAAATTGACTTAAAATCAGTGTCAATTTGGTGAGGTTCGTTGATAGATAACAATCACATTGTTTTTGATGACAAATTTAAAAAAGACCGGCTTTATGTATTTTTGTATAGGACCATAAGAATATTTGCTAAAACATTCATTAGTTATATTGACATTTTGATAGAGTAGTTATGCTTTATTTAGTTAATTTAAAGAGGTCTTCGAACAGCAAATTAAGTGTTGACAATTATAAATTTATGACGTCAAAAAGAGATTGATGACAATAAAATAGCAAAGGTTGTTATAGTCACACAACAAAATGTGCCTCTTCAATGCATTGCAATGAAAGGATGCAGACTAAATGTAAATATAAACGTGAGGGTTGTGTAATTTAAACTGGTTCGTTTGTCATAGAGTCTGCTACTCACGCTGGACACGAGGAGGTCAGTCATCCCTTTCTCTCGAGGTCAATGGCAATGTCCTTCATTCCGAAAGCTCACTGGATACATCGCCGGACCGCATCCTCGTGTCAAAACCAGGAAGGTTATTGCGAGGAAAACAAAATGGAATGTATGGTAAACAGCCATTCTTTGTATGGTGAACAACCATTCTTTGTATGGTAAATAGCCACTGTTAATATCTTTAAGTGTGTTTAGCCTATCAACACAATACGGTATTGCAGTTCCAATTATTACCACATAAGTAAACTGTAAATCTGGAGGATACATAAGAGGTTAAGGAATAAGAAAATACAGATTAGAACAAATTCTCTTCATAGGATTTATGTTGCATTTCCAAATTCAAGTTATGAATCTATCAAAAGAAATCAAGTAATGCGATCCACTATTCCTTGAATCGTTGGGAACGGAATCCATTATGATTTGTGTTTAATGTTTGCATGGTTATACATTGTGATAAATAAATATAATAACTCCTGTCAAACAGACATTTTAAGAATATTCTTAATAAATGTAGCTTTGGAATTATCATCATCTAGTAAATATACTACAGATTTAATAAATAAGTAGACAAACCAACGTTTATGCTTGTGAATATACTTGCAAATTACATGATTGATGTATTTTCTATAAACTTTTCCGTTATCAAAATAAGATAATGTATTTAGGTGACATGTAGACTATAAAAGAGATCTGGACTTCCGTCAGACCTGTAGACTAAAGCAGACGTTAGGGCTCCCGGTGAGACATGATGACTAAAACAGAGTTCAGGACCTCCGGTGGGGCATGTAGACTAAAATAGATTCCAGGACCTCCGGTGGGACATGTAGACTTAAACAGAGTTCAGGACCTCCGATGGGACATGTAGACTAAAACAGAGTTCAGGACCTCCGGTGGTACATACATGAAGACTAAAACAGAGTTAAGGACTCCCGCTGGGACATGTAGACTAAAACAGAGTTCATGACTTCCGGTAGGACATGTAGACTAAAACAGAGTTCATGACTTCCGGTGGGACATGAAGACTAAAACAGAGTTTAGGACTTCCGGTGGGACATGTAGACTAAAACAGAGTTCAGGACCTCCGGTGGTACATACATGTAGACTAAAACAGAGTTCAGGACTTCCGGTGGGACATGTAGACTAAAACAGAGTTCAGGACATTCAGTGAAACCTGTGGACAATAAAGAGAAAACATCTGTTATCATACAAACAGGATCTTTTAATCATTGTTAATAACAACTATTACAAAGTATGTGTTGTATATAGGTGTAGAGTGTCCTAAGCATAGCATTAAACGCATAAAATATCGGTAAAATTAACCATATAATTGTATATCTTTGGATATGAAATACATGGCATTAATCGCACAAACATTTCATGTAATTGTTGTTAAGGTAATAGCATTGTGTCGCCATTTCTCAGTAGAATTTATTCTTTGTAGATATATTGCTGTGAAGTAAAGAACATTTTCTGCCACAAAAAAAAAATATAGGTTGTCAGAATTTTAAGGATTTTAAAAGGAAATTTATGTAAAAAGGAGTGAATTTTGAAAAAAAAAATGAAACACACAATTATTTGAAAAATAATGTCAATAAAAATGATACTAACATATATTAGTATTGCATTAATGTATATCAATTTAATAAATGCTGAAATTGTGTACAATTAATTATCTATAAACGATTAAAAATTGACATTTTATAATAAAAGCAAAAGTTATCGTTCTTGAAAAACTTCACAGTAGTGAAATAGGTAGCCGGTTTCTGAAGTACAGAAAAATGGACACATGTGACTCATTGATTAAAAAACAACTGAATTAATGCCTGGATTGCTTTGCAATACTTTAATATTGAAAGAACACACTGTTCTGTCAATAATAAGCATACAATATTCATCACTTTTATATTAAACATTAGATTATGCGGAAATTGTGATACTGTCTCCCTACATTGGATTTTCAACTAGGGATATATTTCCTATTTCCGTTTAGCAATACACTCCTATGACCTTAATCATGATTAAAAATAATAACCTCATGAACTTGTTTATTTTTAAAATCTTTTGGAAAGACCAATGGTTGAGCGTCAGTAATAGAAAAAAAATATTAGAAAAAGTTCCTCTTCAAAAAAATAGCGATAGACAAATGTCTGTACCTATTAAAACGGGTTTCATAAGGAAATGGTCAAAGTTCAACTAACGATATTTTATAATTTCAGATCTATGTTGAATCCCACCGCGAACACTTCTGTAAACCAGACTCGTGTTCAAGTGGATACACGTGCTACCTGTCTACACCCTGCCCCAATCACTATAAGAAAAATTGTACAGGTACCGTATATATCTTAGATATTTCTGGATAAAATCAAAGATATATATACATATTTATGTATGTACTGAAGATTCTCCTAGAGATGAAAGTACTAAAGACTCGTTGTTGAGAATTTTTCTTTTTAACAATTTAATGGTCAACAATATTCATATTGTTTGAACATATTTGGTATTGTTCTGTTCGATGTTAGATGTATAACATTACTTCTTTATCAATGTAGGCTTTTTTGGTCGTGGTTGATATTACTCTGTTAAGGTTCATATAAATACATGTTCACTAAAATAAAAGTCTTAAATTGATATATTAGATTTCATTATTTAAACAAAACGATGAAACTTTATGAAACGTGAAGAGAAAAAACTACTGTATTTTGCAGAAGGCATTGTAACGTTGGAGCAATGTCCTAAAGGAAATATTAACCTGTTGTTTCTAAAAATAGCAACTCCGAGTCAGTATCACAAATAACCGAACTCCGCGTGAATGGGATGCAGACAAAAATGATTTAGAAATCAGATGTTTCATCTACTATTTTATATTTTTGGTGTTAAAAGTGAACACCTTGAGCGCATCATCCTTCAACTAATATGTACAAACCGTTACACGTTTTTCTTGCTTCTTCTTGTAGAAAATGCCTGTCTTGGTCTGCCTTGTGAACATGGAGCGACCTGTTCCCGCCAGATAGGGTCCGATTTCACGTGTTTGTGTACATCTGGTTTTTATGGCGACACTTGTGAATACGGTAAGTGGTAATACCAGTATACGTAACTAAGGCGAGAAGACGGAGAATAAACGGGCAGTGTCAGTGCCAAGATCCACAGCAGAAAACACTAAAACAAAAATGAAAGAAATGAAAATAATACTAATTCTGAGTATTGCAATACCATAAATTAACTGTGATAACATTCAGGAATCAAGGGTGACATCACAGAAAATGTGTCACAGTTTAGCATTAGTGTTATGAGGTCGTACTTTATGTTCTTGGAAAGAAGTGGAATATAATCGTTTTCCTTGTTATTGCCGCTTTGTTCAAGATCATTCAAATTTTATTTCCGATCCAAAATATTTTTCTATTTTCCTTGCCTATATCATATTTTAATGTTATTGTAGTTGCTTCGTAAGATGTTTATAAATATGTTTGTTGGATTAATCCGTCACACATTGATGTCATTTTTGGAAATGTCTGCTGATTTCGGCTCCAAACCTAGTTATTGATATCCCATCTCCCTTACAAGGATGTACTATACTCAGGGCATTCAGTAACAACAAAAATTACACAAGGTGTAATTTTTAAATTTGTTGGTTGTCATTCTGACAATTCCCTATTTCTTACTAAGCTTTAATTAGTTTACAAATGTAGGATACTTTTATAACATAATCGTAACTTAAAAAGTACCATTGCAAAACAAGGTTCTTCTTTGTCATTTTTCTCTTTTGTGACGTCATGATACAAATCAGGAATGTATGGCTTTTTTTATTATGAAATGATTGTGTCACAACAATTATATTTATTAGTTCGTTTGATAAATTGTGTTATTGGTGAAAACAGTTGTGGATGTTTTACTCAATTACAGCCATATATTTTGGCAAATATGCTCTCGCATGCATAACCTCTTGTTTCCTTCTTAGCCTCTCATTTCTCATTATATTCACATAATCAGGTTCCTCTATTTGTATACATCTTGATCTAGCAGGAGGGTTGTTGGAGGGATAAAGGAATTAATGTTGGGTATTGCCAAAACTTAAAACAAAACTGAAACTCAAATAGACTAGCCACAATTCTTCGCGCTAACATTTGGAATAGGGATATTTAGGGGTGCTCTCCGAATGCCAACATATCTAATAGCAATAGGCAGGTGATGTTTTAAGAAACAATGACAAGTCAGTAATTTACTGTTCCATAAATGCTGCATTTTGACCAGAACACTTGCCCGAAATTAACCTGTGTTTTATGCAACACATTTTCTTAGACTACTTTGTTATATTTGGTCAAAATCGACCAATAATGGCTCTTTTTACCACTTTAAGTTGATGGTTTTTGACAAATGCGAAAGTCTCTCCTATATTTTGAACAGACAAAAAAGAAAATAATTACAGTGAAATACTCGTGGTATCTATATATGTATATATGTTCGAGGTTCTATAGTATTTTCTGCCATCAATTTATATAGGGACAGATAGAAGGGTATGTGTCGCTGATTATAACTTGGAAGTGTTATTAATGTGCCCTACCAGTCCTTTTTAAACCCTTTGTTACACCACCCATTCGCTAGTTAACTACTGAAAATTGGTTCCAAATGACATCGTAATCACCATAAACTTTTATCTGCCGGGAAGACGTGAGATCCTCCCATAATGTAATGCATTTATTGTGTTATTGTGTTGATGTTCCATATCTAGGCATACATGTATAGCAGACACATTATCTTGGGTAACTGTACACTCTTAAGCGTATATATATATATATAGATATATGTATAGCATAGACTCACTTTATTGGGGCACTGTACACTCTTAAGCTTATATAGAGATATATGTATAGCATAGACACATTTTTTGGGGCATTTTACACTCGTAACTTATATAGAGATATATGTATAGCATAGACTCATTATCTTGGGCCACTGTACACTCTTAAGCTTATATAGTGATATATGTATAGCATATACACATTATCATTGGGCACTGTACACTCCTAAGCTTATATAGAGATATATGTATAGCATAGACTCATTATCTTGGGGCACTGTACACTCCTAAGCTAATATAGATATATATATGTAGCATAGACTCAATATCTTGGGGTATTGTACACTCTTAAGCGTATATAGATATATATGTATAGCATAGACTCGTTATATTGGGGCACTGTACACTTTAAGCTTATATAGAGATATATGTATAGCATATACTCATTATATTGGGGACTGTACACTCTTAAGCGTATATAGAGATATATGTTTAGCACAGATACATTGTCTTGGAGCACTGTACACTCTTAAGCGTATATAGATATATATGTATAACATAGATACATTGTCTTGGAGCACTGCTAGCTGACATCAAGAAGATGAGGTTTATACAGAACCAAATTACTAGAATACCAGTGAAGTACCGAATTCGACAATAATAATTGCTAGTATTCATGTACATTTTAAATGTGGTTGGTTTCGGGCAGTTATTGAATACATACACCCATATTAACATTCCGATTTCCCCCCGGATAGCAAGATAAACAAAAACACATCAATCTATAAATATACCGTATTACCTTACCTTACCTATCCACTTCGTGCCTCATGTCACATAAGTTCTTTACAGAAGTATACCATATATTTAGAACTTAAAACTATTGTATAACTTGGAAATGAAGAAGATATCTATCTTAATGTCATATCTATCTCTCTTGGATGATATAATAATAATCGTCATCGTACCAATAGCTTTAAACGAAATCCCAAAGCAAACCGGGGATAAATCACTTTAAAGCCGAATTAATTCCCGATACATATAAATTGTAAACTTTTTCTAGCCTATGATTCATTAAGGAAATTAGGGAACAACAAAACAAGTTATTAAATTGATCAAGCGATTGTTTTGCAGGATTTACCTCCCTTTGTACAAGATATGAGAGCATGAGGCAGCAGATAGTATGAACCAAAGATATACTAACTTGCATTGATTGGTTGAAGTTTTACATTACAGCCGAAATTTTATTGGGCCTTTGAATGGGATGTTTCGTGAGATTTGTCATGACACAAGTGTTAATCACCGTTTGTGTATGCCTCATGTGTTAGTATTCTCTGATTTTTAGTTGACGCCTGCCATAGTGTTCCTTGTGTAAATGGCGGAACATGTGACCGGGACGCGAACAGCTTTAGCTGTGCCTGTACAAACAGATACCAAGGAACTACTTGTGAAATAGGTAATACGGCCCTGCTATTTACTGAACAGGTTTATCTTCTATGGCATTTATAAGTGATTGATGACAACTCCATTGTCCAAATGTCGTACAATATTACTTATTCTTTTGCCACTTCTCACTTTCACCCTTTGACATTCTCTGAGTTAACAAAATTTAATTAACTTATTACCTTTCAAAACACATTCAGTGTTATACACATTTTAGTTGTATACACATGACTGAGGACATGAACGTATATGGCACTGTCAGTAAACCATCAAACAGTCAGCTATTTATTTCNCCCCCCCCCCCCCCCAACAAACACATATTGACATTTAATGTATAATGTACAGTGGTATTACAGTGTTCGTTACGATGTCAAGATAAAATCGAAGCCAACGTTTTAACACTGACATCTCAGTTGTGACGTCAGTATTTAGTTTCAACAAGATGACATCTCCTCATTGATTTTGTAGTATTTATACATAATCTGCAGACGAAATGTGTGTCATTGAAATTTTAACGACGGATACTATTATATATTTATATATTGAGTTACCTACATCACGCTGCATTACAAAGTACAATTATGTCTTGGTTCTAATGCATATTTAATCTCTCAAAAGTCTTAATTTTATTGGTAAGGTGCCCGGCAGGTTCTACTATGCTATACAATCTGGTCTGGTGTACAGTTATATTCAATGTACCTTAAATTAATCACTAATGTCAAGAGATCTTAAAACATTACAGATTGCAGGCCTGGGCCGGCAGATATCCTGTTCATTATCGATTCCTCATTTAATACGGAGAAACATTTCAACGATTCAAAAGCAACTGTCACGGCAATCGTCAATAAGTTACCTATAGGAGCCGATGATTTTCAAATAGCAGTCATTACATATTCATTTGATGCAACCATGGAGTTTTCCTTCAGTACCTACACAGACAAAGCAGATTTGGTTTCCGCCATTGATAACATATCACCTATCATGGGACCCTCCTACCTCGACAAGGCCTTAGACAAGGCGAAGGAGGTAAGACGGTATACGACAATATAAGCCAATAGACATCCATGTTTTATGATATCCTTGTAAACAAAACTATATTGTAACGTGTTAATACGTTGGCAAATTCTATTTTACCGTTACTTTTCACGATTAAATTGTCTTTATGTGGAATGCATCAGGTTGTTAGGCGGCGCACTCGCCTTTCATCAAGACGGCCGGAATTCACATCTCGATCGAACGTGAAAATGTATTTGGTCATCCGCCCGATCACGTAGGGCTCCTCCGGGTACTTCAGTTTACTCCCACATTAAGACATTCTTCAGGCCAACGAGAATGATTAATGTAAGATTGAAAAACTTGTTTCATACTTGTAAAATAAATAAAGTTTATATATTCATTGTATGTACATGTACATGTCTGTTACCGTTACAGGTATTTGGTATTTCGTCATCTTTTGGGGCTCGAGCACAGGTGTTTCAGTACCTAATTATAGTCTCTGACGGGCTTTCTACTCTGAGAACGAAAGCAGTAAAAGACGCTCAAACATTGAAAAGTCGAGGAATTAAAGTTCTAACCGTTGGGAATGGAGAGCAAGTCGATCAGACTGAACTGCTCCAGTTAGCTACAGCCAGCCAATATGTATTTTCAGGAGGCAAGGAGGATGATACCACAAATGTCATCCTAATAGAGACCGTGAACACTAGCTGTACAGGTAATTGTTCAACTCAATTTGAATTAATAATATTCTTGTATTGATTATTTGTTTAGAAGTACCTTCATTAAAATCTTGGAATATAATATCCAACGAAATATTCCAACTGTTTGGTTTCTGTTTTTATAACATCAGTAGAATATTATACATATACGTTATTTTTATATACCTAAGAAACTCTTCATTTTTTAAAATAAAGAAAACCAAACAGTCGGAGCTGATTAAATTATTGAATCCAAGACAAATTGTTAACATTTAATCAATCTACACGTCTTTAAGTAATTGCTGCAAAAATCTCATTAATGCATGTTTACTTTAAACTATTTGCTGATTTATGGAATCAACAACAATAGTATATTTGATATTGACATTTTTTGCAGATTGTTTACTCAACACAATGACGGACATGGTGTTTGTGGTTGATATTTCTAAGCATCAGACTGTTCTACAACAAACGCTGGATGCACTTAAGGACCTGTTATACAAAGCACTGGACTATAACCCAAATCCTCAAGTCGGCATGGTCACGTTCGACTTGACAGCTACATTTAAGTTTAACATTAATCAATATACAGATCGAGACAAGATCCTTCTCAACAGCCAGATTGTCTTGCAACGACAAACCAAAAGTCAAATATAACCGCTGCCTTAACGTTTGTCCGTGAAAATGGGTTTAATAGCAATCGGCCGAACTCCCGGAAAATGTTAGTGGTGTTCTCTAACGAGGGCTGGACTGACGTGGATGGTATCTTACGAGAGAGGCAGGCTCTCAATATGGACAATGTGTTAGTAGTATTTGTTTCCGTTGGAAGATCAGCAGACCTTGTTACTGTATATTCTGGAGCAGAGCGAGCTAGTGACGTGTATTATATAGAACAGAACGCCGATTTAGTTCGATTTAACGCTCTTGTAGCACAGACAACGCACGTGGAATGTCCCATCGATATCTTTGACATTCGAAAGTAGACTACTAAAAGGTTATATAAATAATAGTACATGTAGCTGATCGAAATTGGGTTATCTCTGTCTGGAACACATTATATTACAGAATCTTAGCCAGATACTGAAATAACCCGATGTCGCTTAGTTACAGGTATTTTTTCGCACTTTTTGTTCGGAAAACTAGTTAATTCGTTATCATCTACAAGTATCCCGTCCGGGGCTTCAACAATATGTCCTCATCATCCTAAAGCTATGTTTGAATGCTTCCGCGTAACTAATGCAATCCGAACAAAGAAGAAAACGTACATTGCAAATTGTATTTTATCAACAGCATCAGGAATCTAACAGCATAATTTGCGTTAGCGCGCGAATGAATTACATCGCTTCGTGAAAATTCCGGGAAATATCGCGTGAAGGTGCCAGAGAGATCGGACAGTAAGAAAGATCTGTCCCTGTCTGAGATGCAAGAATACATTGTCTGTTTATGTTACTTACATAACATGCCATTTCGTATCTCATTACATTTACCATCAGTTTACCCTGATTTTCAATATTGATATGATGCAGTAATGCCAATGAAGGCGATTTTAAAAAGCATTATTATTTCATAATTTGAGTATTTTTTTGTTAGAATGCATGTGTATATACATAGCCCAATTTTAATACGTATTAATATATTTGTTATATGAGTGTGGATAGTGGGATATACTCGAGCAGATATAACTCTTCGTATGTTGATATTGGAACTCTTCAATGTTTATACAACTAAAGGCGTCATGGAATATCACACTAACATTGATAATGAATTTAATTGACTGATATGTGTCTATATCCTTCTACGCTGCTATTGCAGCATCCTCAATATCCAAGGGTTACGCCCACTTTCGCTCTCTGCACCACTGAAATATGTCATATAGTAAAATTGAAGGCACGCGGCTACCTATTTGATTGGTGTCAGTCTTCTTTGAAGATAACAGAGGAGCGACGCCCGACTTCAAAGCCAATAAGTGTTACCGTTACGCGACCGCGATATTCTGTTGATGTACATCAAAGCATCAATTTGCTATGACATGTTCCAGGGGTGCAGGGAGCAAAAGTGAGCGGAACTACTTGAGTATCGAGGATGCTATTCCAGATTCGTAGTATATTCTTTTATATTTTTTGCTATTCCAGCAAATAACATTTTGAACTCTAGACATACACCTTATCCATCGTAACCATATCATTAAGTCCCAGCCGTAATCATAGAGACTGCAAAAAGAGTGAACGCTTGTTTTATGAAAAATTTACCATATTTATAGAGTTTGTTTATAAATATTTATTCATGCTTGGTATTGTTTGGTTTTATTTTACTATATCACGTCAAATGAGATATAAAACGTAAACAACGCAGTCATTCCACATTAATTCCTGAATTACTGTAAACATCGATACATCATTGGAAGGTATGTTTTCGTTTGTAGGAATACACTAATGATCAAAGCTTTGGTGCAGAACTATAGCTCACTGTACTCTTGTAATATGTACTTTAAATGGAACCCTGCCTCATTCTACTTGTTTTTTTTAAATACATTTTTATTTGAAAATTTCCATTCACTCTTGAAATTTCAACATGCTTGATGATGTTGTTGTCATTGATTGCTATGCACTTATTGTTATACTTCGTGTGTTCGGCATGCTGAGCCTGCTTTAGCGTCTGATTTCGTTTAGGTTTTGATATTGATTGGTGTTGGATTGTTGCCTTGTCATATAAACGCACACTATTAATATATTGTTGATTTAATAAAACCGAAATACCTTCGTTTTGGGTTTGTTTGAAACTTATATTGTCGAAAATTGTATTAGTTAAATGACACACCAATTAGAATCTCTCATAATACTTCAAACATATAATTGATTGATTTTAAGAATTTTTTAAGGTTATGATCATAATCATAAGGATATGTAAATACATATAACGATAATTTGATAGTCATAAGCGATTATTTAGAGCAATTTAACAATGACAACTGTTTATAGATGACAGAGTTTCAACAAATTTGACATTAGCCACAACTAGTCGTAAAAGCATACGACTGCAGTGTGTAAAACATGTGAAACTAATTTCTAATATTCTTAATCTTGTCTGGTCTAACAGTTCGCCTTAACAGTTTATACAAAACTAAACACCGTTACTCTGAATTAACATGTTGGCCTATGGTTGTTCTATGATTCAACATATCTGTTGGTATATATTCGTGTTTTCTAAACCCAAGGAACTAGCCCATACATTTGAAGTCAGAGCATTACATTCGACCAGATGTAGATGCATGAGATAAGTCCATATTTTAGTACATGCCTTTAGATAATAATTAACGGACTAACTCGATATGTAATGTCGACGCGTCGGGTCATTTAAGTCCAAGTTTAATACACAAAGATCTTATATGAACGTTTATGTAATTCACAAACGTAAGTGATTATCAAACATGTCATGCATTGTTTGGAAAGACCGAGAGACCAGACCAATGGAAACAATCATAGAAACAGATTTAAGGAAAAATACCGAGATACCAGACCAAGGGAAACGATCATAGAAACAATTCTAAGGAAAAAGACCGAGGGACCGGACCAATGGAAACGATCATTGAAACAGATCTAAGGTAATAGACCGAGAGACCAGACCAATGGAAACAATCATAGAAATAGATTTAAGGAAAAAGACCGAGAGACCAGACCAATGGAAACAATCATAGAAACAGATCTAAGGAAAAACATCGAGAGACCAGACCAGTGGAATCAATCATAGAAACCGATCTTAGTAAAAATACCGAAAGACCAGACCAATGGAAACAATCATAGAAACAGATCTAACGAAAAAGACCGAGAGACCGGACCAATGGAAACAATCATAGAAACAGATCTAAGGAAAAATACCGAAAGACCAGACCAATGGAAACAATCATAGAAACAGATCTAAGGAAAAAGACCGAGAGACCGGACCAATGGAAACAATCATAGAAACAGATCTAAGGAAAAAGACAGAGAGACCGGACCAATGGAAACAATCATAGAAACAGATCTTAGGAAAAAGACAGAGAGACCGGACCGATGGAAACAATCATCGAAACAGATCTAAGGAAAAAGACCGAGTGACCAGACAGACTTAATTAACAGACCACGGGACCAGACCAAAGGATCAGATTAAGGAACCCGTTTAAGGAATCAGGGCGAAGGAAGAAGATCAAAGCAACCAGACCATGTGAACAATACAAGGGACCAAACAAAGGGGCTAGACAAAGTATCTAGTCCAATAGATCGGACCAAAATAACAATGTTATCAAATAAAACTTACTAGCCAATGAGGAGATCAAACCACAGTTCGTTTGACTGGACTACTTGACCCAGTACATCAGATTAAAGTAACGGGACCATTATATCAGACTGCACGAACAAGTACACGAGATAAGATCGGAGGAACCGGTACATAATGCATAACCAAATCAACCAGAAAATATAAGATCACAAGAACGGTTACACAAGACCGCAGGAACTAGTTATTGAGACAAAACCATAGGAACCAATGCATACGACCAAACATCAGTAACCAATGCACGAGAACAGAACAGAAATCAGCTCGCAAGACCAGACCACAGGAACCAGAATAGGAGACAATAGATCACAGGAACCAGTACAAGAGACAAAAACGCACAAGGGCCTGTACAAGAGACTAGTCTGCAGGAACATACACATCAGAAACAGATAATCGGAAACAGTACACGAGATTGGACCACAAGAACCAGTACACGAGCTTAGACCAAAGGAACCAGTTTACGAAACCAGACCTTAGGAACCGGTACACGAGACCAGACCATAGTAACCAGTTTACGAGACAAGATCAAAGGTAACAGTTCGTGCTTTTATACTTGTCATAGGCAGATCATCTGTTTCTTTTCACGTATACATAAAGAAAAGTAAAATGTGTATGGAAAGAGATATGTTACAGCCCAGTACACTGTTCCTGATAAGTGTTAACGGTGATTGATTAGTTTTATTTATATGCATTTCTTTTCAGTGTTGTACATATTTCTGAATCATCGCTCATTAAAAAATAAAGAATTTAAACAATGATATATGTTGAAATTGGGCACTTTTTCTTTTAATGTTTAAAGCTACATACTTTATTATGTACCCGAAATGCGTTATCGTAAGTCTGTGTTAAGGATGCACTCTATATTACACAGCTGATACTTTGTTAAAAACCGATAACGTGACTGCTTTATATATTTAGGGATTCAGGAATAAAGCAGATCACTTGAAATTTACATCATGAATGATCATTTAGGGGTGAAATATCGTAACCTTGAAGGTGAAATTTATTTTTGGCAAATTTAATATCTATTGGCAGTTAAAATAGATTATCTGTAGCTAAAATATAAATTACGGGGGTTAAGTCTTTACTTAGTAATTGTGATTGTCATTTTACCTTGCGAAGGTTTTTTCTTCCATAATACGTTAAGATAATAATAGATAAAATACTCGTGAAAAACGGACGACGACCTGGGAAATGCTTTATATAAACATCTATTTATGTTATACTGGTTTTTAATAACTATTTTGCTGGACTGAATAATTGTTTTTGAATTGTATGTGATATATACGTTTTCGAATCCAACGATCAATTGATTATTCGAATCCAGTGTAATCTTCTGGCGTACA